GTAATGTGTAAAGATAGCATATACACCAGTTAATTTTATTGCTTCACAGTTGTAATTCAGTACCAAACTGTTCAGAAATGTATGTTGTGAATAAGAAAAAGGGGATATTAGTCCATACATACCCTGCATGCATGTATTCCTTGTGTTAAGACTTTGTTTTTTCCCCGAGTCATTAATAAAATGGCTATATTTATAAATTGGGTATTTTTAATTACACACTACACTTAATTATATAATTAGGAATACAGGAGAAATCACTTTTTTTCTGGTTCTAGAACATATAGTATTTTTTGCCCATTATAAGTCATAAATTGTTAGTTTATGGGTTTCTTGTACTAGCAGGTTGTACTACCTAAAGGCTAATAATTAACTGAAATGATCTGAATCACCAGATTTGACTATTTCACTTCCTGGAAATTCACCCAGTAAAGGTTTGTATGAGGCACAGTGAAGGATTACCACCAGTCATATGTCACACTGTGTTTCCACTGGTTTCCAGTAGGACTACTTCTTCGGAACCAGGTCTGTTTTAGTGGAGTTAAAAAAAAAAAAGTTACTACTTGGCTTGTGACGTCACCAGGATTAATTACGCAATTACAAGGAATGTGCGGGCTGGGAAAACGTCCGGCCAGAGAGAAAGGGGCAGAAGGTGGGCGAGGTGAGTCAACGCCTGTCATGTCTTAGGGTAGGAGGTGTTCATAGACACCCAGTCTGCGGGTTTCACTTCCATCGAGTCCCCCCTCGGTCCAGCAGCGACAGCACACCTGGTCCACGGGAGCGGCGGCAGGTAGAGGCGAGGAGGACCTCGGTGTCAGCGGCGTGTGAAGAACGTAGACTGGGCGGAGACGCCGAGTCTGAAAGGTGAGTTTCCATGATATGAAACGTTGGTGTAACCTGTAAACTGAGCTCAGAAGCTCCCTAAGGTTGACATGTTAGGCGGAGGGTTTTCGTCCAACACGCGGGTCATTTCTGTTTCGGGTTTCGTCCGGTGTTTACCCGCATGTCAGAGCAGACAAGTTCAGTAAACACGAACCAAAAGTTTCCTGTGGTTTCAGCAGCGCCTTCAAACTTGTATGGAGCTGGAAAATGGAAAAGGGTCAACAAACTCCAAAACAGTTCTCATGCCAAAAATACACAGCTATTCATTAAAAAGCCCCAAACCATGATTAGTCTTCCTGTGTATTCCAAGGTGCAGGCATAGAGGACACACTACGCCGCTAAACCTACACCCTGTTATGTATTTGTGGCACTGTGATTATTTTAGATTAAAGTTTAGCGTTAAGTAATTCCTTCTAATGTTTTGAAAGGCAGGCTATTTAACGAAGGCTTTGCCAAGACTGCCTTGTTGTCCGGTTTTACAGAAACAGGCAGCATGGGTGAGGCACCGGCCAGAGGAGATGATGCAGTGACACGATCTGCAGAGGTAAGTCTAGAAATGTGACTTTTAAATTTGCATTTAGTCTTTTTGTGTGCGTCTTTTTTTTTTTAAACCTGAACTTCTGCCTTTACTGTAAAGTATGTGGGCTCATTTCCCGTGGATGACTGCTGTTTGGATGACCAGATGGAGCAACTGCACACTCAGATGAAGTTATTTAAAGTAGGTCCAGATCCATGTGAGAACTCTTGGAATTAACAGTATCTCAAAAAGCTCATAAACTAATATGTTTTAATGGAGAGTACAATCTCTTATATGTTGGTTGTTTTCCATCAGACATGCAACCGGAGGCGGCCTGTGTCCCTAAAATTCTCCATCAAAGGTGTGAAAATGTATGATGAGGATGAAACGGTAAGGATGGTGATTTGTCTCAAATGAGAACTTGTATATCCCGCCAACTCTGTCTGGAAGCATTGAAGTTTGAAATGGAGATTCAGTCAGTCAAGCATCCTCGTGTCTTATGTCCCCCTCCTTGTCCTCAGACCCTCCTGATGGCTCATGCCCTGCGTAGAGTCTCTCTTTCCACTGCTCGGCCAACTGATGCCCAGTTCGCCTTTGTCTCCCACAACCCAGGCATCACTGATGCCCAGTTGTACTGCCATGTTTTTCAAGCTAGGCATGCCAGGGCGGTAAGAAAACGGGTCTATGAATTCTTGAGAGAAAAGTTGCACTTTTTCCCACATTTTAACAGGAAAAACCTTAAAATTTGACGTTATGGTTGTTTGACAAATGTACTTGTGATTCATCAAAATGAGAATATGTACAGTGACAGTTTTTGTAATCTTGCTTCTGTGCGCCACCACAAGTAATTAGCTCTATATCAGGGGTGGCCAATGCTGGTCCTTGAGGGCTGCTGTCCTGCCTGTTTTCCCACTATCCCTGCTCTTTACCTGGATCAGGTGTGCTCAGTCAATCAGAAACTGGAAGATGCCTTCTTAGATGAAGGTGGATCGAGGAAAGACTAAGTGAATTGGTGGACTTGAACACACCTGATACGGGGGGGGATCTATAAAATGTAATTCCTAAATGGTTAATGTGATATTTTTGTTAAATTGCAGAGACAACTTCATTACTTTATTTCACATCCATTGTGGTGGTGTACAGGGGCGAACATTGTGTCACTATCCAAATACTTCTGGACCCAACTGTATGTATTGTATGAAAGAGATCTGTATGTTGGTGCATGAGAAGGTTCTAACAAAGTTGGAAAGTACTGCCATCAGTCCATCAAAAATGCACCGAGATGAACTTTCCGATGACTTAAGTATTTGCTTAATCAAACTGCACCGTGGCACAGTAGAAGCTTACAATATTAGACACTGCATTGCCCTGAAATTGCCATATGTCTAAGTGTAACTCTTCAGTTTTTTTTTTTGTGTGTGTGTTCACTTGCTCTTCTGTAGGCACAGTTCCTGAACCTGCTGCTGTGCCGCTGTTTCCAGCTGTCTTACTTAGAGAAGCACCCAGAGGAGGCCCAGGAACGCTCTGCTGGCTCAGTGCCTCGTCGTAATCCTTCACTGCTCAACCACGGTTTCCCTCTCAGTGTCAGTGCCTTGGTGTCCTTCAGAAGAGCCCCTTTTCAAGGGCTGTTGACGAACACCAAGGTCTGGAGCTTAACATCTGTTCACTCCTACAAGTTAATATCATTGTGTGTTGTTCTTACCTGTAGTGTTTGCCTATTTTCAACAGTGAAAATAGTTGCAGCCCTAATTGACAGCCTAGTGTGAAATATTCTGGCCATAACCACATAAGGCATTGTTTTAATGGCTGCAACATTATGTTAAATTAAAAGTTTGTATTATGCATCATTTAACACCTCTCCATAAAATGTTTAGCTTTTAGAACTTTGTGATCTTCATAATAAATGTAAACACTCCTTACCAGAGGACTCAAAGTTAGAGGCTTAAAGGATCAAGAGTAGCAGCTACTGAATGACAAAACAAAATGTCTTCACAATTAAACATTTTGCACTCAGGCAATATTTTTCCCCACTTGTCTATAGAAAGGTCAGAAGCCACTTGACGCACCGCAGAGCAGCCAAGATGAAGCCTCCCTCTTCTCCACCCCTTCCCTGGTGCGGAAGCAAGCTATCCGCACCAAAGCGCTGCGCTCTGGGGCTTACCGCTCTTTCACTTTCACGCCGCTTAAACAGCGCAGTGTTCAGGAGCGACTGAATGCGTCACAAGGTGGGCCAAGTGTTCACAGAGCTCTTTCAAGATTCAAAGAGTTCATTAGGTAAAGCAGACTCTGTGTTAGGTGATGGGCAATCACTCACTGTATGTTGGGGTGTCAGTAGGCAGTTGTTGTAATATAGACTACTTGATAATGGTTTTGCATCACGTGGGTATTTTCTAAGAGCTTCTCCCTGTTGAGCTTGTCTCACAGATGTTAATCTGGCTCAAAGGGCAGAGAGACACCAAGCCGACATCAGAGAACTAGTGTTGGTGAAGGCCAGCTGTTGCGTCACTTCACATCTCTTCGTCTGGGCCAAAAAGTGGCACACCATTGAGACTATAGCCAGTGGCCAACTCGGACATACGCTCTGCACCTGCAAGGGAGGCAATGACTTTCCCTTCTAGTAGATGGCTGTAGTCTGTATTTATTAGAAGCAGAAGATGTAGGTAAACACAGATAAACTAAACAAAGCCTCTCTCTCTCTCACCCCTTGTGATTTATAGCTACTTCTAATTGAGAATATTTATGACAAAAAGTTGCAAATGGCACTGGTGGTGTTGTCTTTTGGTTGTAGAAGAAAGGAACTTGCAGAGGCAACATCGGAAGAAACCTCACTAAACTGGGGAATACTACAGCGACGGTCGCGAGGGGCATCCCTGGCCTTTGTCTTCTCATGCATTGATTTGCTAAACTGAACAACCAGTCAGTGGTCTCTCTCGCCGATGGCATCAGCTGCTGATTCAACATGCTGAAACGCCCCTGACAGGAATGTCATTGGTGCAGAAAACACCACCAAAACTAGGGTAACCAATGCTCACCGACAGCCCAGCATTGGCTGATGGCCGACCGTCGGCTTGGTGTGTCACAGGCCTCAAAATGATGACAGACAAACTTTGGCTTTATGTTACTGAATCATCCCTTGCTTTCTTCACCTGAGCAGTGTTGTGTTTACACCAAACACGCCCTTCACAATGTTTGGGTTACACAGGCTGATTTTCCACGCAGACAAAGCTGGTGGAAAACCAATACCTAGAAAGCTTATTCACACCAAAGCACTGCGCCCTGAGGCTTATCACCGTCTCACCTTTACACCAAACATTCCCTTCACCAAGTTCAGATTACATTGGTTGTTTTCTCGCACAAACACAGGTGGTACAATATCTCCATTTTTGCACCTCTTGGAATTTAAATACGAATTCAGAAAGATTTCTCCTCTAATATGTGAAACAGAAAAGGAGCAAGACGAGATGACGGGGAAGAGATCCCGAGCTCCGAGCTTGGCCGAAACCGAAGAAGCACTGGCTCAAGCTGTATGGTGTTGGGCTGGAATCGCAACGTGAGCGTCCTCTGTGCATTTAACTCCAATGATTGATGCCTTCTCTTGCCTTTAGTTTTTCATGAATATGTCAGGCCTTTTTACTAGTGACCTTCTTCTCCGTTTTAGAGACAGCAGCTTTTCTCTTCTCGAAGATGATGTTCTGGGTTCATACCTCCTGTGCCCTCATCCTAAAAAACCCAAATGTGGCTCCATCATCATTCGCTTCCCATCTGGCCTGGTCACCCACCTCATAGAAAACACTCGTAAAGGGAAATTCCTGCTAGAGGTAAGTGTTTTGTCAAGGTAGGTTGAATATTATCCAAACATTAGCAAACATCAAGACTGCCAAGCTATTATTAGCTTAGATTTGTGGTAGAAACAAAATGGTTCATTCCCCAGAACTGATGAATTTGTTTTTTTCTTTTTTGTTTTGCTTTTGTTTTTTTACAGGTTGCATTATGAATAACATTCAACTTAAAATCATTAATTTTTAATAAATATTTTTAAAAATATTTTAAGGCTGATTCCATGGTTTTGTATCCAATATGTCACACAAATATTAGCCCCTTCAAGTCCAATTTTCACTAAATTTACAGGTTTTGATAACTTTTTTCAACATAAATGCATCTATATTTGTATATCTGCTTGTCCAAATGCTTGTGAATTCATCAAGCTAATATCAAGTGACATATATAAAAAACCATGCCATTCTTATCAATTATTTGAACTGTAATTCAGTGTTTTATTTAGAAACTGAGGTCTGGGACTGCATTTAAAATACACATCAGTGGATATCAACACAGGTGTGCCACACAACACCCCACTTTTAGGTGTGTGGGCCTGTGGGTGTTAATTTTTGTGTCAAAACAAGTATTTGGACTTAATACTCATCAGCCACAACATTAAACATTGTGGACCAATTGGAAGAAGGTAGTTTGATCTAGTGAATCACATCTTATTTTAAATCATGTGGATGACTTGGTGCATATACGTCATATACCCAGAGAAGAGACAGCACCAGGAAGCACTATGGGAAGAAGGCAAGCCAGCGGAGGCAGTGTGATGTTCTGGGCAACGTTCTGCTGGAAGACATTGGGTCCTGCCATTGATGTGGTTGTTACTTTGACACATGCCACCTATCTAAACATTGTTGCAGACCAAGTATACCCCTTCTTGGCTACAGTATTCCCCGATGGCAGTGGCCACACCACACGGTTTGAGGAACATGACAGAGTTCAGGGTATTACTTTGGTCTCCAAATTCGCCAGGTCTCAATCTGATTGAGCATCTGTGGGATGTGCTGGAAAATCATCTGATCCATGGAGGCCTCACCTCGCAGCTTACCAGACTTCAAGGACCTGCTGCTAACGTCCTGGTGTCAGATACCAGAGGATGCCTTCAGAGGTATTGTGGAATCCCTCAGTAGGTCAGAGCTGTTTTGGCTGCATAAGCGGGACCTACACAGTACTGGCAGGTGGTTTTAATGTTGTGGCTGATCAGTGTATTTAAGGGGAAAATCAACAAAATGACACAAAGACAACCCTAATCACTCCAACACTCCCCTGAAACCAAGAACAATTATATTGTTGTCGGCATTTAGTTCTAAATATATTTGCATGCCAATTTCTGTGTAATGCTATTTGCAGCTTGTGGTTTTATAACAACTTCTTCTTGTTTCTTTGGTTTATCTCTGTGGTAGAAATGCAAGACTGAGTTCAGTTCCATAGCAGAACTGATTGAATATTACACCGAAGCCCAGGATGAGCTGCCGTGCCCGCTGAGCTGTGCCCGGGTAAACCACTGTTACGAGTGGGAGGAAAATACCAGCAAACTGCAGACTGTGAATCTGAACGAAGCCAAAATGAAAAGTACCTAAGGAAAGGAATGGGGCTAAACCCGGGACACAAGCTCCAGGGTTCTTTCTTTTGCACATATATCATCTCTTACTTTTTAATCACGTGGTGTTGTAGGGAGTCTTAATGTGCAGTAACGCAATGCACCTCAACAAATATAGCACTTAATGTATATAGCATAAACACCATTTCCTCACAGGGTACTTATTCGTCAAAGATGTGATATTTTGTGCTTGCTGCTTTTTATGTTTTTAGCATCTTTTTTTTTTGTTTTTTAAAAAGCATGTGCCTATAAGGGCTCATAAGTTTATTGGTGTTTTTGCACGTGATGGCCATAATTATTTTTCTTTTTTTTTTTGCATGGTAAATGTTATTCAAATATATGTGGCCAATTTTTATTGTTTCATTGAGTTTTAATCTTGTTTATACGTATGTTTTTCTGATAACATTAGACCTAAAAAAAAAAAAAAAATTTTAAGCAAGACTACTATCATGTCCATGAGGAAATGTGGCCATGACCTCAATTGATTTCTGTAACCTGCTGGTTCAGTGCCAGTTTATTAGTTTTATAATTTTTAGGTTATAATGATCAGTTTCTTTTGAAACTGTTTTAGAGAGGCACTAATTCAGCTGATCATGTTGGGGGACATACTGGGGTGGACAAGGTAACTGAAATACCAGTTGATAGAAAATGGCCTTCTCTACACATGACCAGAGTCTGCTGATTATTTCTTCTGTTAATCATTTGGTCTACCACAGACTGAGCATTTTTTATAAGGCCCCTCACAGCTTGGCAGAATTAAAGAACTATCCAAAACCATATTATGTTTTGCAAATCCTTTCATTTGGCTTACTAACTAAAAAGAAAAATGAATTGAAGAATCTTATCTAACTAGTTGGTTATTTCAGCTCCAGAAACTTTCAAAAAGCTGCATTATAACTTGCATGGAGGTGATTTTTTGCAGGGCTCTTTAAACACTACATTCATTTTAGCTGTGTGTACCTAATCAACAGCCAACTGTGTACATGAAATAGATTTGAAATATCAGATTTTGTTTGTTAGTAGTTTGCTCCCTACTGTAACTGTTTTACTGATGTAATGGTTTGTTATATAGTTTGACAAGAAACACCACCAGATATGTTGCTTTTGTTACCTGGCATTTAGCAAAAGGCGTTCAAACCTTTTGACATTAACAGTGTAGCGTACTAATATGCACAGGAAACGCTAACTTGGAAAAGTTGGATCAAATTAGGATGTTGTGTAATTTTTCAAATGAATGAATATACTGTTAACGATTTGGATTTTTAAAAAAGCTGCCTTAATTTTAGCTATGGATGGAAGATGGAGCCAGGACATCTTCATAAAGGGACTGCAGCTTTATTTCTTGCTAAAAAGAAAAAACCTTTACGCAGACAAAACATGACTTTGTGGCAATAACATGCAAAGATATAACTTTATATTGTAGGACTATGGTTCTTGTTACCATTGCTAACTCTGAGAGACGAGACAGTCCAACTAACTTCAAAACAGTGCTGATTTATTCAAAGGATCACAGGTAAAATTAACATTACACACTCAGGTATCTTGCACCTCCAAACTGCTCGCAGGCAGATGTAAGATGAAAGACCCTGAACCCACCAGGCCTATACATTATATCCCAATCAACGTGTGAATGTGTATGTCTGTTGATTAAGTGGTGTGTAGCTAAAAACATTCTCACAGACTTCTAGTGACATGTCGTGACTTAAACATAAGAACATATTATGGCTAAGGCTACAGTTATACACGTCATAATAATAATAATAATATTAAACACCCTGTCTGCTGACAGTCATCAACTCTTCTCTCTAGTTATCCTTGACCAGATGTTCCCTGTAGAAACTCATAAGCATGCCTAAGCATTTAACAGTCTAACTAGACATCCTATCTCCACTAAACATTTCTAATACATAAAGCATCTATCTATTTTCTATTTGACTAAAAATACCTAACAATATTCTGTTGTACTTGGTGTTTTGTGAAATTCGACCTCACTCCGTCCTCACCAAAATGGCCGCCGCTCTGGGGCCGTTTCACCCGTGGATGTATTGGATCCCAAGACTTGGGAGTAGACGGAGGTAACTGGTTTGGTGTTGGGATCAGTCGTAAATCACGACTGTTTAGGGTTAGAGTGAATAATTTAGTTGTGGATTAAGGTAGAGGTAAACACATAGCTATAGGAAAATATTTGTTTCTTCCTTTATCTTCTGAGTCTTGCGATGTAATGCTGGCCGTTTCACTCCCCAACCTTGTTTATTGTTGCTTGGCAACTTCAAAATACCTTTGGAAGAGGAGCAGAGGGTCTTTAACGACATGTTAGCTACCTGAGGAAGATGATCAACATCGTCTGGAAATATTCCTGCCTCTATTCTGCTTTTCCTTTGAATATGTTTCTGTTCTCTGGTCATCATTCCTGTTGGACTTAAACTGGTATGTTAACTGTTAGAGGGCAGAGTGTGTCATCTGATTAGTTAAGTAACTAGCTAATGAGGATCCTGCTTCAGCTCCATTCTGTGGACATGTATTTATAAAGAAAAAAATCCCTTGCTTTTGTCTGTTACCTACTGCACAAACCAGCTGCTCATCTGTGAATGGTGAGACATGGGGTCAGAGTCGGTGAAAGTGGTGGTCAGGTGCAGGCCTCTGGATGACAGGGAGAAGACTCTTGGTTCTCAGATGGTGCTGTCCATGGACCTGCAACGCTGCCAATGCTTCATAGAGAAGCCTGGGGTAGTGGACGAGCCACCCAAACAATTCACTTTTGATGGGACCTATTTCACTGATCAAACAACTGAGCAGATGTACAATGAGACTGCCTATCCTTTGGTTGAGGTAAGCTCTTGGTTTTTTGCATTCAGTGCCAATACACATAAACAGCCTGGTCACTGGACACCCTGCTTAACATCAGCAGCCTGTCCTATTGCTACTGAGTGCAGACCTCATTATTAACTTAACACCCTCCTTATTAAAAAGGTCAGCAGGGTGTTGGTTCTTTAAAGAATACACATTCAAAGTGTCACTAATGCCACATTCATTTTTTTTTTACAGAGTGTCACTGAGGGTTATAATGGCACAATTTTTGCCTATGGACAGACTGGAAGTGGCAAGTCTTTTACAATGCAGGGGGTATCTGAGCCTGCAGCCCAGAGGGGAGTCATCCCACGGGCCTTTGAGCACATCTTTGAGAGTATTCAGGTAGATCCAACAATTGTTGTTAATTGTGCCACGTATTCAAGTGTATACAGTTTTTGGGGGCAGTCTGCATACTTACTAGTCCTAGTCTCTGTCCTAGCTTATCTAAGCTTTGTGTGATGAAATAGAATTATTTTATGTGTTTATCTGCTAGTGTGCAGAAAATACAAAGTTCTTGGTGAGGGCTTCCTACTTGGAGATTTACAATGAAGAAATCAGAGACCTTTTGGGAAATGACACCAAACAGAGATTGGAGGTAAGGCTCTTGAAGCATTCTTGTTTCAATAAACAAATCAGTCGACACAGTGTAACATTAGAAGCTAAAAAGGTTATTGCTCTTTGGTAAGTAAAATGATTATGAAACCTTTTCTCAGACTGAGTGCTTAAGCTTTGTGCACAATACTGTACAAGTTGCCATGGTGACCTAAAAGAACAGTAGTTAATTCCTTGAAGGTCAAGGTGGTTGAACAAGCTGACAGATTTTGGTTGTGTATGTGTTTTTGTGTGGTTGATGAATGCCTAGCTGAAAGAGCATCCAGAGAAAGGGGTATACGTGCGAGATCTGTCCATGCACACAGTGCACAGTGTGGGGGAATGCGAGAGAATCATTGAGCAGGGCTGGAGGAACCGGGCTGTGGGCTACACGCTGATGAACAAAGACTCCTCCCGCTCACACTCCATCTTCACCATCCACTTGGAGATCTGCAATACTGGTGAACACACACAATTATATATGTCAGCATGATTGTCAAGAACTGAAGAAGACAGCTGAAATCAAAGTTCATTTCCAACAGTGTTCATATCTAAGGGTGAAATTTTTTTTTGCCAAAAAATTTAAGATAAGAATACAAAGTTGCATGCCTGTTTTATCTACGGTCTCCTTGTCACCCATGTTCTCAGATGCCTCCGGCCAGGACCATCTGCGAGCAGGCAAACTCAACCTTGTTGACCTAGCAGGAAGTGAGCGTCAGTCTAAAACTGGTGCGACTGGGGAGCGACTGCGCGAGGCCACCAAGATCAACCTCTCCCTCTCAGCCCTGGGAAATGTCATCTCTGCCCTGGTGGACGGACGCTCCAAATACATCCCCTACCGGGACTCCAAGCTGACCAGGCTGCTGCAAGACTCTCTAGGAGGAAGCACACGCACCTTAATGATCGCCTGCGTCTCCCCTGCAGATAGCAATTATGAGGAAAGCTTGAGCACACTACGCTATGCAAACCGGGCAAAGAGCATCCAAAACAGACCTCGTATCAACGAGGACCCCAAGGACGCTCTGCTCCGAGAGTATCAAGAAGAGATCAAGAAGCTGCGGGCCCTCATCTCAGGCCAGCTGGGCACTGCTAACCTTTCAAGTAAATTATATACTTTGTGACTAGTGTTTTGATATACAGAAAACAGCATCTTATTATTTTAATATTGCCAAATAATTTAGATGTCTTCATTAGGAGGTGTTTCATTTGCATTGTATTTGTTGAATTCCTTCCATTACCTGTGTTGCCAAGAAAGTGTATTTTGTCCTTTTGTTTATGGTGAAGCTCTGCTGGCTGGTCGGTTGTCTGAGGCATCCCCTGATGTTCCTACAAGGCCACAGTCCAACACCACAGAAGCAGAGAAGGAGAAGATTAAAGAGGAAACCTCAGTTATTCCCATGCAATATATCTGTTCCCATCTCTACATGCACTGTGTAAGGACCGAGTGATTTATGGGTCTGTATTGTACTCTCTCCACAGGAGTACGAGGAGAGGCTGGCAAAGTTGCAGGCTGAGTATCATGCAGAGCAGGAATCCAAAGCAAAGCTGCAGGAGGACATTGCAGCCTTGTGTTCCTCCTATGAATCCAAGCTGTCTAATCTGGAGAAGGCTGGAGCCAGCAGGAGGAGCTCTGACCCAAAGAAAGGTAAAATAAACTGTCTCCAGCAAAGAATCATGTAACTAGTTTATAAATCCATTAGCACTAGGGAATCAACACTCATGTCAAGTAGGAAGTTCTTTTTTGTTGTGTCCACACCATGTTTACTGACACAACTTTGCATTGTTTTGTTTCCCAACATCAGTGAGCTCAAGCTGTATGGTGGCTGAAGAACAGCTCTGCCTCAGTGCTGATCTAGTGGCCCAAAGTGCAACTGGGGAAGTTTCTTTGGCCAAGGTTCTGTCCACCGCTACCGTTGTCACTAATCATTCAAAAACTGAAGATGAGAAAACTGATTATTAGTAACTCATTATTTCCTCATTCTGGGGAGCCAGACTGTTGTACCTTGTGCAGCAGTTCAAGTCCAAAAAGGTCACCCTCACGAAGACGGGCTCATAGGCTCGACTGATGTCACCACAGCTGGGCCCCTGGACCAGGAACATGTCCTGGAAAGGTTTGTGAACTTAAGTGATAAATATGCTCACACTTTTACAGTCATGCCCTATTCATCTACCTTCTCCACAGGCTGAAGCAGCTGGAACAGGAGGTGGTAGGAGGAGAGCAGGCCAGGAACAAAGAGTTACAGCAGAGACACTGGCAGAGGAAGAAACTGGCAGATCAGAGGAAAGTCCAGCTTATCACAGCACTGTCTGAGAACAGCGAGGAGAGTGAAAATGTGCTATTGAATGTCTACAATTCCATCCAGGAAGAGGTCCATGCCAAAAGCCAGATGCTGGTTAAGGTGCAGGGCAAGGTGAGTCACTGCAGCTTTAGGACTAAATAACAGGTTCTGTGCAACATACAATAAATTCAGAGCAATGTTCAGAAATGGAAGTGGTCATTGAGAATGGCCTGTACTGTATCATTTTGGTCTTCTTTAGGGCATGAGTTTGTTGATAGTGTTCCACTATAAAACTTTCCAAATATGTTGTCCCTGTTAGTATAATTGAATTTTTTTAGAAAAATATTCTCTGAGATTGAGTTGTGAGGTAAAAATGGGTGGGGTTTTGCACATTAAAACCTCAGTACAATGCAGCATTCTCAGTGTGCATTGCTTACAGAACACCAAAATCTTAAGAGGTTGCACTAGCTGATAATTCATAATGTCTCAAATCAAAATTTCAAAGTCTTTAAGCTTTAAGAGCTATTAGTCAACCAATGCATCACACAAACCTGTTGGGACAGCTCAAAGCAGCCAAACTGGAGATCCGTGACCTGCAGGCAGAGTTTGAAGTGGAGAGGAATGATTACCTGGCAACCATCCGGCGGCTGGAGAGGGAGGGTCAGCTGATGCACAGCCTACTGGAGCGTATGGTGCCCCTGGTGCGCCGTGACTGCAACTACAGCAACCTGGACCGCCTGAAGAAAGAAGCTGTCTGGGATGAGGATAGCGCCACGTGGAAGCCGCCAGACGTGATGGTGCAGAAAACAATGCTGCCTTCAGGTACAACATGTGAAATGAGGGCACATAGAAAACAGATCAAGTAAAAGCCTATCAATTTTTAGTAATGATGCAAATGGTGTGTGTTTGCAGATTTGTTTCCTCACATATTTTCTTTCTTTGTTTCTTTCTCATAGCAGTGCCTCCAAAACTTTCAACTAGGGGAGGCACAGCTAGTGGAGATGGTGGAGAGCCTTTCCTGGTGTGTTTATGTTCCATGCATATTCTAACTCACACACCCTGAAACAAAGACACAGTCTTACTCCTCTGTGTTTTTAGCAGGTGGAAGAGGACAGATATAAAGAAATGCTGGACAGGAGTGACAGTGAGAACATCGTCAGCAGCTATTTCAAGTCAAAAAGAGCCAGCCAGCTGCTGGGAGGTGACGCTGCCAAGAGACACAGTAAGACCCAGGACCTGCACACATCTCCTCTTAAAATAAAAATATTAAAGAATACAAGTGAGATGATTTTCAGCAGCAGTCACAATGCTAGTTCACTTCACATTTAGGCATGGTCTTCCTATGTTGGTCTCTGATGGTGCTCTTCTCCAGCAGCCATCCACTCCCCTCCACTGGTCAATGGGGTGACCCACCTAACCGTCAGCAGTTCCACCACAAACCCACCTGTAAGCTCAAACTCCATCCCACCACGCCCTTTTCGACTGGAATCGCTGAGCGTCCTCGTGTCCAACAGCAAGGTGAAGCGCAAGAAAAGCAAATCTCTCATTCACAATGACGAGACATGAAAAGACTGTGTATTCCCACACCTCGCCTTCTGTAAAATATTTGTCATGTTACTGCTTACCAGAAATGAACACAGCAAGGTTTTTTTTTTTTACTTTGAGTCCAGTTTTTTTTTTTAAAATCATACCTTGAATGTTCATTTTGAACAAAATGCTACCTTAAGTTTGATACTACCCTTGAAATATTGCACTGTATTTAAAGATTTTTGTGCATTTTGAGACTCAGTCCAGCTATTATAACTTCGAAATTTCACATCTAATTAATCATTTGTTTTGCTCTTTGTGATTGTAAGCCACAATTTTAATGTTTTCTGTCATTTAAAATTCTACACTTGCTGCTGAACAGATAAAATAAATTAATGTACGCACTTTATTGGCTAATTTCACTGACTTTAAGAAAAGCTGTTTAAACTTAATTTGTAATGTTAAGAACAGTTAGAAGAAAATATCCCAGACATGTCGGACCAGATTGTGCTGTAAAAGCAAAAAGACTTGGCACACAGTGGGTCAGGGGACCTGTTGCATCATGTTGACAGGTAGTAGTAGAACATTATCTCATGCTACATGTGACCTCCGAGGTCAGCATTGCTAAGCCAAATTTGTGAAATATGAAAATTTTGATTTTCATGGCAGGATCAAAGTGACTGATTTATTTTAATAACCAGTCATTTAAAATATTCCCAATGATGGAATCTGTATTGTTGCAGCAGTCTGTTTACTTTTTCCCTCTTTCAGCACAGAAACCTTTCAAACACTGTAGCTGAATTCATATCTCTAGTAATAAACTGAGTTCTGTCTTTGAGTTTCTGTCTATGATCCGATTTCTTCAACCATTATTTAATATTACTTATGGCCCGTGACAGTTTCTAAATTTGACACCCATTATTTGCCTGCTGGCAGCCATACTAGACAGATACTGGTCCATGAGGGGGGTTCTTGTCTTACTGAGAGACAACTCTATAGAAGGCTGTAAATGTCTTTTGCAGTAATCAACCACACACTAATTCAATTCAGGCTTCAAGATTGTTACATAACAGATGAGTAGCTATTCAGATACTTCAGGAAGAAGTAAAAGTCTTGCAGGCAAGGGATGTTAGGAAAACAAAGGAAAGCGCTGTTTCACATGGAGGTTGGGTTCAAGATAGTCAGGTAATGAAAGAATAGCTGAGCTGGCTTTCTCATCGCCCCAGTGGTGTGTAAGATGAGCAGCATGACTGATGGTCATTCTGTAATTGGAGTGTTGGCTGAAGCAGAGGGGTAAAGCCACAATGCAGGTTTACAGGGATGAAGGTTTGACTGAATTATAAATGGTCTTTGTGCCTGTTACCCAGCCTAGTGTGAAGAGGAAAACCATTTAGAGCTCCAAGTTAATTGCTTTTCAAATGATAGGTCACAGTGTACAGTAACGGCTTCAGAAACTAAGCTGTATAATTCATGTTGACTGTATTTTCTCACTGGCACAGGAATAGATGGACTGATGTAAAGTAGAAAACTGAACTTACATTGTGTGAAGATAAAGATTTTAATACACAATATATTAAGTGCAGACTTTATTCTCAGTGACACTAATGGTAAAGAATAGTTAGGCATTTTTGTCATTACAGATGAACGTTTCCGGTAGTTAGACTATGAAGGCATTCACAGGAACACAATTTGTCAAACCTTTTAAGACCATCTAAACCTCCTATACAGTATAAAACATGAGCGGAAACAAATAGTTGTTTCTCCTAATAATCACGTTGTCGATAGCTACTTCAGTTTAGAAAACACTGAACACCCCAAAACACATTGTTTTGTTTTACAATAATTAAGCTTAATAAACATATTTGCTTTTCTTGAAAAAATATACTCAACAATCCGGTTACAGGCACATCTGTGAATTATCAAACAACTGGTAAAAATTTAGCTGAAGTGAGTTGTTTCCTTTTAAGTCGAGCGGCATGTTATGTACAGTGTAATGAGGACAAAAGATGAATGGAAATCCACAACATCACATGTACATACAACATACAGTTGAATTATTATTAATAATTTCTTAAAAACCTGAGTCCTACTTAAATTTGCTAAAGAGGCATAAGAGATTCTCACTGGATGGCACTACATTAGCAGGCAATTTTATCAAATTAGTGAAGTTTGAAATGTCTGTGGTGCATTTTCAGATTCTTGCGAACCCTACAGAAGAAGAATATTTGGAAAGAAACTGCACGCATACAAGTAATTACAGCACAGATTTAAACGTCTGGCATTGCCCTTCAAATTGTTCCTCTTTTTTATCCTAGTCTGCTTTAGTTGGTTAGATGCCAAGTTCCCACTTAATACTTTAACTGTCTTTAAGCTGATGGCACTTTTGAACGCGTTCTGAGCACTGCATTTAGGCAGGCAGACTTCTGCTCTTTACCTCTTTGTCTTTTAACAGTCCCAGCTTTCTGAGTGCTTCTTTTCGATCAGCTCCCGTCCTGGGCACCACCATCACAGTATATTCAACTGAGTTTGAAGGTTTATGGGGTACAGGTGGAGGTGTCGTGGTGGATTTTACTGGCTCGCTCGCTGTCATATGTTGTGGTTCAGGACTATTGTTGCCAGTTGTGTGGTTGTCCGGGGGAGCAGAGCACCTCAGACCAGCAATCTTCATTCCACTGGATTGAGCAGGATGTGATACAGATGCAGGCTGTTGCTCATGTCTGGAATAGTGGTGGGAACTGGCACTGCTCTGCAGAAACCTGTTTCTGGGCTCTGGGTGCAACGATGGGGTTGTGGATGTATTAACATTAGATGGCCCTCTTCTTTTAAATGCTCTACTTGTTGGGTCCAAAGAGGTGTGAGATTTAGGGGGAGACACTGAAGCTACTGTCTCATTTTCAGGCTGTTCTGTCAGGAGGCCAAGCTTCTTCAGAGCTTCCAGTCTCACCACCCGGGTATCTGGCGCATACTTGACACTGTATGAAGAGTCTGGGCTTATCAATGCTTCGTTGCATGTTTTCACAGATATGTTAGCAGGAATCTTTTTGGGTTTAGGGGCCACAACTGGAGGAGCTGTCCTACACTTAGGAGCCTCTGAGTGGGATTTGTCAGATCTTGGCAGATTTGCAAGGTTTTGACCTTCCACTGGGACAGGAAGGCTCATGTCCAAGTCTATCGTATGATCAACTGTGGGACACAAAGGGGTCTTCTTTGTGGAGGCACTTTGCTGGAGATGAACAAGTGCCTCGTAGGACAGAGGTCCTCTTGATAATGGAGCCTGAGGTGTCATAACTGAGTAGTCCCTGGGTTTTGTGTGAGGAGCGATCACCACATTAACTTCTAAAGGTACTGGGGGAGCAGCAGGTTTCTGGCTGTATTTGTGGCCCAGTTTGTTGCTTGAAGGAGTAACCTGAGGCTTGTCTGGAGGAACGCCTGGTTTAATACTGGGTACAGAACATGGAGGGCTGCCTGCAACAACTAGAGGTGTAGGAACCCGGTAGCTCTGCATGGGTTTGGTGTCAGCGTTTTCCTTAATGGGTTCCTTCAGAGCATGTTTCAATGAATCTGAAAGACAAACAAGCACATGTTTTTAACTAAAACTTCTGTGTTTTATTGAGTGCTGTACAGCTAATTCTGCATCTGTCCCCAGAAAATAACTTACCATTGAGCATGTCTTTGCTCATGGAGGCTGACAGGTCAGCCAGTTTGGCAGCAAGGTTGCCAGGCCTGGGCAGTTGGTCAGGTTTATCACTGGACAGTCCACTGTCCTCCTCGGTATCCAGAGACTCAATAGTCTCCTCTAAAAACATGAGACAGGCCTTCTCTTCAATAGACAGGTGCTCAAGACTATCGCCGCTCTGTAGTACATAAGAGAAGGATTTTCCTTTTGACAAATTCTACCATTTTATGTCCCAAAAATGACATGATCTCAAAATGTATACAAATATGAAACCAGATAACCAAATACCTACATAGCTTTGTCCTGATATTTCATATTGTTTTGTATAATCAGTTGTAGCAGAACTGTACATATGGTCAAATCAAAGAGGGTAAAGTCAGTCACTTACAAAGCCGGATTTGGCACTGACAGCGCTGTCACAGCTACCAGCACTGTCCATGCTTGTGATCGTCTCCAATCCGGTGCCACCTGGCCAGCTATCATTTTTAGGCATCTTGTACCCTACTTACACAATGATAGTGGCACAAATTGTGTTTCGCTGTGTGAAAAGGGAAGGAATGGTGAGTTAAACTACAGTTCCTCTACAAACTTTGCAGAGTGAAAGTATTTTAAAAAAGCATTCAGAAGTAGTACTTGATCTCTGTGAACCATTTTAAACTAGTTTTTAGATGGCCTTTCTTCTAGACAACCATCGGTTTGCATTCATTTATGTCCCGTATTAAGTACATAGTCTTTTAAAGGCCCATGTTGTTAATTTTCTTAAAAATACTTTCTAACAAATAATTGAATTAATTAGTACATTTGGCACATGGCCAGTGTCAGTGAAATGGAAGCTAATAACAGTAATAACTACAATATTACGCTAATATTTTTTTTCTTTTGCTAGACAGTTTTAACGCAGAGCAGGCACTAAAACGTTATCATTTACCCAACATTTATATTTGCTTCTCAGTCTTCTTTCATTTCTAATAACATCACTTATGAAGGCCCTTAGCCCTTAGCTCTAAGATGTAAGATGGAATTGTAATTTAGCTTTTGAGAAAAAAAAATGAATCAAATGCAACTAAATGCCACCTGTAAAAAAATCTTTTGTAAACAACAAGACTCAATTATGCAAGTTAATTTGCATTCTTTACTGACTATTACCAGTGGCTGCCCGGCAATCGACCTAGTGTATGTGATTGCAGTGTGCTTGGTGAACAGTAGTGTAAAATATCTGTAGTCTGCAAGTAACAAACTAAAACCACTGCTATCTTCCTTAGAAGCTGCACCTGTAGACAGATAAGTACTTTTTTTTTCTAAATTGCTACGTTTATCTTATCTCTCCACCATGTAACTTCCTGTGTGTCTCACATGCACACTAGGTTTTTGATGACAGGCCTTGCTGGTACAGATTGACAGGAGTCATAACTCAGTGTGTTTGAACAGATATCTAACTAGTCCTCTTACTGCATGTGACTCAGATTACAGCACACATGCCACTCCTAAGCTTCCTCAAGTGGATCAGTTTCAGGAGGGAGTGGAGGGCAACAGCAAAGATCTCCTGAAAGCTATGATACTGTATCCAGCTAGTACATGTTGTGCTACTGTAACAGTCTAGTATTAGGATATTTGGTTGTAGGTAGAGATTGGTGTCCTCCTGGGGCTGCTAAAAGGCATGCACCCTTCTGGCACTGAGACACTTCTTCCCAGTGGTGCATTTACAGTATATGACCATTAGAAACAGAATAGGCAGTTGAATTAGTGCATGACATTTCAACCAGAACAAACAAATTTTAGAGAAAAATGCATTTTACATGGTTTTGTAGAAATAGAGGTGGACATGTAGTATAAAGAAAGCCCTGTCTGATCCTAGTGAAAAGAAATTCAGTTTTGGATAAGTTTCAACACCTGAGAAGAAAGGGCTGCAGATAAGCCAAGGGAGGCACAAAAGTGCTCCTGTTCACTGTTCATAATGTGCCATGCCATCCCATCCCTGTAAAAGTTAAAGCCCCTATCTCCAGGTCAATATGTAAATGGACCCATCTGTCCTGCTGCATGTAGGTCAGGATATGAATCTGAACAATGGGAACTTTGATATAATGTTTATTGTTTTAACCTGACAGAGTGAACAGATGCATATAACAAGGTCAGCTGTTGTGTATTGTTCTGGTGGTAAGTGTATAGCCTGATTTTAGGGGTTTTGCCTTGTCCCAACATCTGTAAAACTAATACCACTGAACTTAGTTATTACCTCCTGTGAATGTGTTTAGATGTTTCCAGTGAAACATCTAAACAGAGTTAAACTACACTAATGTTATCTCCACACAGATCAAACAGTAGCAGCTGCCACAAAAGCCAGGATGAGCTTAGTTCTCACTAAACATCATGATGCAATAAATTTAACTGCCAGGTCAAATTCCTTGGAATGTTCATCTCTGGCCCAATAACACAGTTGTATTGTTGATTTTATTGTGATTATAAAAGAGGAACCTGCAAAGATTTTATTAGGCCTGTATGTAATGTACTGTTTGAAGAGGATTAACCCACACTACCTGGACTGGGATTCTTCCTAGTCCAGGATCATTTGGCTATGTGTTTCCATATAAAGATTATCTGCCCCTAGTCTCGACAGAAATACAAATTACAAACATCTATTGATCAACCGTTATGCATAAGAATAGCTTATATTCCAGCATAAAACTGAAACGAGTTTGCAAATAATAAACTAGACTGAAGGCTGAAGATGACACGACTATGTTAACACATAGGTTAGTTAACAAGTTCACAAAGCGCATCAACCGCGACACTATAGGCATAAACATGAAGTCGTAGATCATCAAACTATTTTAAAATCTAGACTGTCAGGAAATAAAAAATTGTTCAAGTCACCACTGACACGTTTACTTCATCTGAGCTACACAAATTTAAGTAGAAAAACACGATTAGAAATAAATCTAACACGAAGGAAATAAAACGACTAGATTTAAGTGACCACAAAATTATTTTTTTTTCAAATAAAACTGCATTAGTCGACCACATACCTGTTTGAGTGTCCGCTTTGTTCCGTTTAATCCTCTTGCTTCTTGTGCAAACGAAGAAGCGATGAGTGGGCGGGTCTGAGTTACCCGCAGGAAGGACTTTGCCCTAAGATTCTAGCCTATCAGAGTGAAGCGTTCTCCTTGAGACGCGTCGTCATAGCAACGTACCTACAACTGTCGTAACCTGCTAATCTCTGCCTCAGTTACCAAAAGGAGTGACAGTTACGCCTAAATGTAAGCGGTATCAAAGTAAGTTAGTTACTATGATAACAGTCGTTGGACAGCTGGATGACGTGTTGTTTTCAACAGTCACCTTTTGCAGCACGAAGTGGATGACAGCACATTTTAACGGATGTGTTCACAGTTTCGTAAGTCTGACTTTTTACTTCAAGTAAACAGTTACATTTGCATTGAAACGGACCTGGAAGTGCCCGCCCGCTGTGTTGCATTTTATTGCTGTAAATGTCTTGAAAAGAGGTCGCTCAGAGTGACGTTTGACCTCTGCTCTGCAGTTCATCATCCTGTTGGTGGACAGCACGTGTCCGTGTGCGTGAAGTTGGCCCCCCATCCAACGCAAAACACAGCCAAAATGGTGTCATCCGTTTGTGCTTCGTTTGTGCTGGTTTGTGCTGCAAAAAGTTTCGTTTGTGCTGTTACGGTATTTGAGATATTAAACACTATCTTTAGGGGTCATCCACAGGTCACTCAGCCCCCCAGATAGCTCCAAATTGGACAAAAGTGGTGTCGTTCGTTTGTGCTTCGTTTGTGCTGGTTTGTGCTGCAAAAAGTTTCGTTTGTGCTGTTACGGTATTTGAGATATTAAACACTATCTTTAGGGGTCATCCACAGGTCACTCAGCCCCCCAGATAGCTCCAAATTGGACAAAAGTGGTGTCGTTCGTTTGTGCTTCGTTTGTGCTGGTTTGTGCTGCAAAAAGTTTCGTTTGTGCTGTTACGGTATTTGAGATAT